TTTTGATGTGACAATGAGTAGCTGAGAAGCCAGATATTTTGCATGGCTATGGCAAGAAATAGGCTTTGCACCTTCAACATCATGAATGGGCATTTCGAAGAGTTGGTTGGAGTTTGTAATGTCTTCAGAGGATTTCAAAAGTGTCTTCAGAGGATTATCAGAGATAAATGGTTTACATAAAGGGGGTGTTTGTATCATAGGAAAACAATATCATTGAGAGTTTTTGGAGACATCATAATAGACCAAGAGATCAGAACTCAGTGATGGTAATTTTACATACTACATGCCTCACGGTTATATATCTTTTGTATCATACTATTTTGATGTCTCTGTTTGCCCAAAATTGTTGGTAAAATATTGTTAACATTAGCTGCAATGACTGTTGTCCTTAATGCGATATTCCAGACCCTTACATTAGTTTACCTTTCTGAAATGCTTTAGGGGATAACTGCTGGCCCCCTTTGTCTCAAATCATGAAAGTGCTGACTTCAACAGAATTCTGCACTTTTATGAATGAATGCAGGAACACATCCGGTGGAATCAAGCAGGCTTCCGGATTCATTGCACTTGAATGTCTATTCAAGTAGAAGTGAAAGCTATCACTTGAAGCTTCAGTGTAATGCTTCCCTATGAGAAACATCCACTTGGGTAATTGATGAGATGACTACATTTGAATTTGAATACAAAAACAGACACTAATATGGTTAATGTACTAGACCCTGGTGACCATTTTTCTACTGTGTCCAAATGCAGTTTACTAGCAGACGAAAATGAACTTTTGACACCTACCTGGTAGTTTATCCCCTTGTGTATATAGGTTGGTGGAGGGAATCATTGTCATTTGTCAGATCTTTACTTTATTTGTAAATAAAATAGGGACTATCCCTACTAAATAGGGACACTTGAGAGGTATGGGTTAGAGTAACCCTTACAGGCATACCCACCTACTCCACCCACCAAAAAAATAAATAAAACAAATCTACCATATAACAATGGAAATATCAAGTGAATTAAAATTACAATGGAATTATATAATATGCTAATCCAATTCAAAAAGGTAGTATAGTTTAAGAAACTGCCTATGACAAAATCTGTAAAACTCTAACGGAAACTATGACTGTTATAAATTATCCTATTTGGAATTTACTTGTCACTTGGAAATATGGAAGGTGTCCACAACATTCTTACAGGTTTTTATCTCGAGCTGCGGGGTTCTGCAGCAGTTGTGGATTACGAAAGAGTCACTGGGTACCAGAAGCTTAAAATATTGATAAGGTACTTTATTGCTCAGTTGCATCATCATCTTTGTTAGATTAAGTATAACAGTTCCAAATGCTCTTGCTACACAGAATCAACATGAATCGCTCAGCCACTTTCACTACATTTCTGACTAGACATAATTCATACATTATCTCTCCCCTTGTTGTGGCTTCAAGCTGGATCTAGAGTCTACCGTGGCATTTATCTGATCCAAGAAACATTTAATCTCCAAGCAAAAAGTGCATTTCTATATTATATTTCATAATATCACTTATATTAATAATCTGCATGCAAATTTCTTATCTTTCATCTATTAAATGAAGGTGACTCAAGGTCACGAAAGTTAAAACATTACAACATTACACTAAAACAACTGTAGTATGTTTGGTGAGCCATGTTATTGAAGAGCATTATTTTAACTTAATTTCTACATTGTACAAATTGATATTTGGCCAACCTTGTTACAAAAATCAGAAGTTGCATGAGGAAATAGTAAATATCTTAAATTAAAATATTGAAATTTGTATAATTAACCAGGGATATTTTTTTATCTGATTTCATTCTTTTTTTTATTTTTTTGCACATATGCCTGCAACATATATTTTATTTATATTTCAAGAAGAAATATATGAATATCTAAAATGTACAGAAATTAGTCATGTTCACCAGTGAAATTTTCGTTTTGTACGAATGATTTTGTACTAAATAAAAATGTAATTTGCCAGTCCTGAATTTCATCCGCAAATCATTAGTTTTTGAATGAAATTCCTAATTCCATGAGGATGAAAACAGCACTGCGCATGCACTGCAAGGAGGGAGCCAGCACCACTACCAGCTTTCTCCTTGTAATAAATATTAATTCCAACCCCACTCCCCAGTCACTAGTGCAGTAAGGGGGACCTGGCACATGTTAAATCCTGCCGCAAGCCCCTACCTATGCCAGGTCCCCCGTGTAGTAGTGGCATGTTCTCTAAACATCGAGCAGCCAGTGGCACACCACGAGCAGGGGCAGGCAGGAGGATTTAACCTCCCTTTTATCAATATGGGGGTCAGAGTGACCCCCATAGGATTTAATGCAGGGATGGGGGGGGTGGGGTTGGAATTAATATTTATTACAAGGAGAAAGCTGGTAGTGGTGCGGGGGTCATACTGGCTGCTTGCTGTCATTTAAAACTGGATATAAATATATCTTACATAGAAGTGTAAAGAGTACCGTAAGAGTACGTGTAAAAAGTAGCTATTTAGATCTAAATAGCTACTTTTCATATTGCAACATTGTTATAGTTTTTTTCTATAACTTTTGCTTACACATACTCTTTCTGTAGCTCTCTATCACATCTATATATATCCAGTATATTTTTATATCCAGTTTTAAATGACAGCGAGCAGCCACTTTCTGCTTGCTGATTAGACGACATGCCCCTACTACACGAGGGGACCTGGCACAGGTAGGGGTATGCAGCAGGATTTAACCTGTGCCAGGTCACCCCTTATTGCACTAGTGAGTGGGCAGCAATAGCTGCCCAGTCACTAGTACTTTTACATTTGTTTAGGCGACATGCCCCTACTTGCGGCATGCCTCGAGTAGGGGCATGTGGGAAGATTTAACCTTCATTTTATTAATATTGGGGTCATATTATTAGTAGATGTAATGGCCACACTTTTCTCCTATGAAATATTACATTTCTATATTATATTTTATAGTTAATAGTTATTTATTTATGTAGCCTATATGCATATTCGTTAGGGTTAACCCCACTAAATTAAGAAGGGAAGGGTCATTGCCACGCAAAATATACCATTACATTTTATCAAAAGTAATCAATGGCAATCTTTCTGAAAACGGCAATTGTGTAGATTTTAAAAATGAAATAATGGGATAATACATCTTCATGCATTGTTGTAATTAGTAGGATGCATCGTAATTAATTATTGTGGCTGAAAAGCAATATGAAATATCGCCTCCCAAAAAAGAAGTTTTGCCTACTATATTTCCAGTGCTCATCTCTGATAGTGGGTAAAAACCTTCATGTAAGTGCTTTCAGAAGCTACAGCCAGGGATAGGTAACATTGAGGACTTCAGATGTTCCAGACTATATTTTGTCAAAACATTTGTTTCTACGTTATTTGTTTAGTGTTAATAATAGTTTTTGCTTATTATTGGTAATCTGCTTGCACTCTTCCAAATTCTTGACCTCACTAAATTGTGATGGGGATGTAATAGCCATGACAGGGGGATAAGTGTTAGCAAAGCTCTCTGTGCCACATGGATTGGGTCATAAAAATAAGGGACGTTTTAGCAAAGTACTCTGTGCCATAAAGACAGGAAGAGTGTTAGCATAGTACTCTGTGAGGTCAGAAAGAGTCTTGCAAAACACTGTGTCATCGGGATAGGTGGCTCTGAGGAGTCTGTTAGTGTCAATCATGTAATGTATCTGCTATATAAGTTGTGTTGACTCTTATGCATGTTGATCAGTCTCACATAAGCTAACAGCAAGTTGACCAGAACCTGTTAATGCACAGGGCTCTGTAGAAGTACTTCCATGTGCTGAGTGTGGCCATTAGAGAGCTTAATTCACTGTAAAATATAGTATTAGTCTGTTACTCCAGATGTTACATTTTGATGAAGGAATAAAAATGTTTGCTTTATTTTAAAAAATCTTGCGAGGGCCCATATTTTTGCGGTTTGGATTATATATTGTCATATTAAAACACTAGGGCAGAAAGTGAAAAGTATTACATCTTATCGGATATTGTTTATTTTTGTATTAGTTTTTTTTATAATTAAGTATGGCTGGAAATTTAACAAAACGTTATTAGACCTTAACCTGATGCATTTTTTTCTTTTGGGGAGTTATCGAAGATAAGATTATTATATTTACCTATTATTTAAATGGTATACATATTTCTGCACACTTCTGTATATTTTATAAGCCACAAAATTAAAGTTTAAAATAACAACCAGTCTTAGTATATGTGGTGTTAGTCCAATAAACAAGTACCACTGTATACTGCTATATTTCTTAATTTGGCATCTATCTGTCTGTCTGTCTGTCTGTCGGTCTGTCTGTCCATCTTTCTCTGTCCTTCCGTCCGTCCATCTGTCTGTCTGCCCCTCTGCCCGTCTATATCTCCATCTTATGGTTGCCATCCTAAATAGGAGTGATTGAACTTAATGCAGTAATATCCCTAAACTTATGTTAGTTTACAGTCATTTACTTCTTGAAATCATTGTGTGTATCTTATTAATATGCAACAATTGTAGAAATGCATAGGTTTTAATGAGGCACTCTATCTTTGCTTCATTCTCAGTTGCAAGTTTCCCAAGAGTCTTATTGTAATGAAGTAATTAACCTCAATTTTAAAAATAGAATGCTCTTCTCATATTCAGTACCTTGCTCATGCTCAGTTACCTAATGAGTTTGTCCCTCTGAAAAAATGCTATTCATTTAGCTGTAGCAACCCTTAAGGGAATATTCCCTCTTATCATGCTATTTTAAAATTACTCTATGTTTTATACTAAGAATCGTACTGCATCTTTGAATAGTATTGTGACCTTCATAAATTGTCCTTTATTCTAAATGTACAATAGGCTAAACTGTTCCCCATCAAAGCTGTCACTGCGTGGCAGGGCTTTGGGGGCTAAAGCAACAAGTTTGGGAGGGGCATGCTTTATCCACATCATCCACTTCATTAAGCTAAAGCTGTTACTTAGAGCAGTGTTCCCCAACCCAGTCCTCAGGGACCACCAACAGTCCAGGTTTTGTCAGTATCTCCATTGGAATAAAACAGGGGGATACATAAATCCTGGATTGTTGGTGGTCCCTGAGGACTGGGTTGGGGAACACTGACTTAGAGTGTCCCTTTAAGCGAGTGCATAAATGTATTCTCTATGAAGATATGTCGCCTGTGATTCTGAAACCACTGGTCACCTTATCAGTAAACATGACCCTCCCCTCTCAAGTACTCCTAAATTAAATAAAAAAATTTTTTAATTATATTCTCACGTACTGTGATCTTATACAATTTGAAGAATTAGCAATTTAGTGAATTATCATTGCTTGCCCTTCTAAATAGCCTCAAAGTAACCTTTTAAAAGAGAAATAGCAGTGATTCATATACAACTGTGCTGTCGTTCTTGCCTACTCTGTTCTTGAAACTTTAGTAAAGTGTTCTTCATGGTAGAATTAGATGTGGAATTGATCTGGTAAGCAGCTCAGTTGTCAATACTTTTGCTTACAAATAAAGTTTTATGGTGTTTCAAAAATCTACTTGACCTTTTGATTTTGTCAAATTAGTATCCAAAAAATTATCACTGTAGAAAATGTATTCACTTTAATTTTAACAAAATAAAATATTTAATACTGCTAACCAGAAAAGAAAAAATATTTAAATACAACAAACACATTTTTAAATTTTAAAGTTTTATTAGCAGACATAGTGAATACATTAGGTAATATAGTTACATTAAAAGGGGGATTAAACCCAGCTTCAAGTCTTAGCCAATCAACTAGATCAACAGCTCCTCCAATTTTTTTTTAATCCCGCCAACACAATTTGATAGGCAGTAAAAAAATAAAATAAAAATACAGACAAAAACATATAAACATTCTAAAAAGTTGTGAATAAATTCATTACTTTATCAATATTTTACTGCTGCCAGACTGTATTGTTAAACAAGCTTATTAATAAAAAGAGTTAAAATTCGCAACTTTTCTGCACAAACAAAATATTTTTAGTTAAAAAAAGATATATTCCAAATCTTCAGTTCAACAATATATTTAACTATTCTTTTTTTGTAATATTCCACAACAAAAATGGTCAGAAATATTGATAAATTTTTATGTTATTGTTTATAGTTTAATCCTATTAGTTTGAATTATTTACTTTTTATTTCTTTTAAAAATCAATTATTAAAAAATAAATAACAGCTTTAAATTGTAAATTAGCTGTCTTTGGAAAAATTATCTATGTCGTATATGAAATTCAGTTGTTAAGTTGTAAAGTCACCAGTTAAAAAACACTCAAATTGCCCAGCATGGTTTACTTTTAATATAGCTTTAATAGTAACTGATTTGCTATTACAAGAATACAAAGTTTGCTATTCACAAAACTCTCAGTGATTTGCAAAATAAATTCGGCTTCATTTTTAAATTGTTTATTGTGAAATTTGGGCATTTTTTTCAGGAGTCCCAATACATCCATGTGCAGTGGCTAAAAAGGTAGCTTGATCCTATTCAAACAGTATTCATAAAAACAGGAAAAAAAAATCTGTTTCCCTATTCCTTTATCCCTTTGAGGTATGGCAACCATATTAAACTGTCAGTCCTACAGCTGCTCTCCTTCCCTATCTTGTGGCCAGAGGTAGGTATGGCTAACATAAAAGGAATAAATCCTGGACCACCTATAAAAAATCTTACATCTCATAGACCACACGATTGGGGGTCTTGAGGGGGTGGGGGGTTACAGTATTAAGAAACCTAGCATTAGTTGTGGGATTATTGGTAAAAGCTTATAGGCACTTTAACCTCTCATACCACCTTCAGCGTACAATGTAAGTACCTTACTAGTCAAGATTACATTGTCAACACTATGTAACATTGTTATATGATTTAATATTAAAATGGGGCTATTTTCCAAATGTGTGTACCATTTGAGATCATTCCCTTACTAGGAGGTAGTAGAACCCTAACTTTGCAATCAGTGTGGAATTAGTCATTAAAAATTTAACAAATTAGATAAACCTGTTGCAATTCTTTTTGAGCTACTTTTACCATGCCTGTACTTTAAAATATCAGTAAATATTATTATTGAGTTATTGAATAGCACAAATCCAGTTCAACAGGCAAAGCATTAAAATTAAAAGCAGATGCATTTTGTTATCTGGTTTGTGTCTAGATAAAGAACTTTTTTTTTTTTAATTTAAAGTAATCTTGAATTTGACAAAATATGAACCAAAAATTGATGACCTTCTTCTTAGTCTTTCGCACCTTGCATATCATCTCAGTTCTGCTGGGAAGAGTCATTATATATATTTGAAGCAAAAAAGATGGATAAAAGATAAGTTGTGTGTATTTAAATTGATTTATATGTGTGTCTGAAAATTCTGTATATAGGGATTTCAAGAGAAAGAATTAGAGTTCAGTAGGTCACTTGGATTACTGAGGTTTAGAAGAAAGAAAAGTTTTATATAAGCAATGCTAAACTGAGGACAAGTAAAAGGCAAAAAATAGATAGAAGAGGTACAGATGGAAAATGTCAAGAAAATTACAGGATTTCTACCAAATGGAACATAGGGGAGATAAGGAAACTATTCCCGAGCAATTATACAAAAATACTTCCTGCCTCACTCAAAAAGCAATAAATCATATTTATATTTCAGAAAAACATTGGCTTCATGTAGCAAAAATGTAAGTTATGTAATACTAATATATACTATATCATTCTTAGGTTATTAATTTGGCCATATCAGCAAATAGCTTAAAATGTTTGATTAATTTGAATAATATTGATAATTGTTTTCAGTTATTTATTTTAACTTTAATAATTTCAGTTGGTATTGGTTTTATGTCGAAAAATGACTTTAGCAAAATGTAAAAAAAAAAAAAAAAACAACTGATATCTAAAGTTTGAATGTCTATTCACCCAGTGATAATATTTGATAGAGGTTTTTGGTATTTTCATGTTTTTTTTTTTTTTTTTTAGCAAAACAGAGTCATGTATTGTATGACCAGCATTTATCAGCTTTACAGAACATGTTAGCTGAATTCTGGCCCCGTACTGTATAGCATATTGTCATTCATTCATAGCAGGATTCTAAGCTAGGATTTTCAAATAGTGCATCAAATAGTAAATATAGGATTGAGAAAGATCAGTATGAAATTCACCATTTTTATTTTGAGCCAGTTCAATGTGGATGTGATCTAGGGCTTTACATCATTTTTTTTTTTTTTGCAAAAATATGGTTTTCATCCAAACTATTAACTGTTCCCGTAGGGTTATTTATTAAAGTGATAATTCAAAGGGAATCCATTATGAACTTACATTTGAGATTCTCACCTTAGTAAATAAGCTGCATGTATTTTGTCCCATTCACCTTTCTTTCGATTCTATCACAATGTCCAGTTTCTGCTGATGAGTAAAGGATCCATAATATCAAGGTCAAAGGGCTTATTCTCAACTTCAACATTATCTCAAATGAAACAATTATAGAAAAAATAAAAGCCTTCTCCCTGATGTTAGCAGAACCTTTGTTATGATAGGTATTAACCTTTGACGTTGACCCAAGTATTATTAGAATTGACTACTTCAGTGTATGTTAGTCAACAATGACCTCAGGCAACAAACTATTTAGCCCAAGGTGCAAATTAATACATTGCTTATGCTTCTGATATTAAACATTGTATGTGGGAATATAGTTTGCATGTATGAACTCCACATAACTGGAACATCTAATGATCAACTGGAAACGTTCAGGAGATTCCACTGGCTAGCTTTGAAATATATAAATAGTGGACTCAGGAAGTGGAAAAGGGACAATCACAATGACTTAACTATGCTCTATTGTGGTGGGACCCATTGCGTAGCTCATTGTTGGCACTGTGGGAGAGAGACCTGGAGGTAAGCTTAGATAACGCTTCCTGGAATATATATCTGAGTATACAAAAGCACCATGAGGTGGTATTTGGACCCTGTCAGACTGACTCACAAGTATCCGCGTATCTGCTTTCATGGTTGTGGTTGCAGGGGCACCAACTTTTACATCTGGTAGACTTGTGGTATAGTTGCGTACCTATGGAGAGAGATATTTGCTACCTATTCATAAACTTGGCTGTTCTGGAATAAATTTGAGCTCTTTTCAAAGCAAGGGTAACAAGGGGTTTTAATCATGTTTGGTCTCTACTTAAATCTAGCCTGCTTATTTTTTTTTAACACAAATAGAGAGAGAAACCTACATAAGAGTTACCATTAGCTTTTTTCCCCCCATCTTGTTCAATGCATTGTTTTTGGTCTATTTACAGGAGTCTAATGAGTGTATTTATGTATAGATTTGTATGGTTGTTTTTGTGTTTGCTTTTCTTATTTGTGTTTCTAAAGATGTTTAGCTTAATGTAGTGGTTCTGGTGTCTATAGCCTGTCCCTGCAGCCTTTTTTAATGTAAACACACTGCCTTTTCAGAGAAAAGACACTGTGTGCAACACTGGCATTGGCTCATATGGCAGATCATATGAGTGGGGCATTGTGATGTCACATGGTGGGCAGAGCATATGGGGGGGTGGCAAAAACATTTTTTGCCTAGGGTGGCAAAAATCCTTGCACAAAGTTAGAAAAAGTGTGTTTTAAAAAATATTTCATCATATTTTATAATTTTGTTTATAGTAAATTATATGATATGATGTAAATAATCGTATCTATAGAAAGACAATTTAAAGGGACACTGTAGTCACTATAACCACTTTGTCTCTTTGAATTGGTTACAGTGCCTGGAGTGGCCTGGCACTGTCCCTCCATTCAGTGTTGCACCATGTTTGTGCAGTATGCCACAAAATAAGAGTCCCTGGCCACCCACAGTCCGGCCCCTTCTGTATGTGTAGCTAAAGCAGAGATTACACACTTCCTTGTTGTCATACCCATTCATACCGTCAGTTGGAGCTCTGACAGGTTAAAAGCAGTCAGCTGACACTCTCAGCCAATCACAGCTGCCCATTGCCTCACAGGGTAATACTTCCTTATTAGCCAAAGCAGCACAGAGAGGATAGACTGCCGTGGACTCTTGTTTAGCATTAAAACATTACAACATTAAAAACTGTTTAATTCTGAAAGAAATGATGGTA